ATGAGGCCCAGCTGTGAAGCAATGCAAGCTGCTGTGGGGCCTTGGGCCTTCTCTTAGAAGTTCTGGGTCTGTCTGGCCCAGCTGCAGTTTGTTAGGTAGTTTTCAGATTGCAAAGGGCCAGGGCATTCATATGCAAAGGCTTGGGTGGGGCGGGGTCTCAGGGAATCAACAGGGCGGAGCAAGCAGCTATGGCTGATCCTCAGCCCTGCCCTAAGTGGCCCCAGGTCTCAGTGTCGCGCTGCAAGCACCTTTGAGAGAAAGCCGCCCTCGAGTTCTGAGTTCTGCCCGCTGCCAGACAGTCCAGTTTCTCCCCGTATGAGTCTGGGTCCCCAGAGACTCACCCGGAACTGGAGTTCAGAGCAGTCGGGGGCTTGTGACTCCCTTCCGATTCAAAAAGACAGCCGTGTCCTCAGTTGCCAGCCCTTGCCGCGTGCGCCTCCGTACCTCTGCATTTCCGCACCTCCTCTGAGTCTCAGTGTGCTTTTCTCTTTCCTTCTAGTTGTAGAATTTCCACTCAGCCAGCCTTCCTGTGGTTCTGGATAATGTCCGTTTTGTCTTTTAGTTGTATTTTTAAATTTGTTGTGGGAGGCAGCAATTTCCAGTGTTTACCTATGCCACCATCTTGGTTTCTCAAACACTTCTACCAAATCTTTCACCAAAACTACTAAGTTAAAATTTGAACCTTTGTGCCCTGACCGGGTGGCTCAGTTAGTTGCAGCATCATCCTGATATGACAGGGTTGCAGATTCGATCCCTGGGCACATACAAGAATCAACCAATGAATGCATAAATAAGTGGAACAACCAATAGATGTTTCTTTCTCTCTCTCTCTTTCTCTCTCTCCCTGCCCCCTTTCTTCCTTTCTCTCTTAAATCAATAAATAAAAATTTTAAAAAAAATTTTGAGCTTTTGTTTTTTTTACCCACAGTCTTCTATTTATGGTGATAAGATAAAGTTATAAGCCAAAAAGTAAAAGGAAGAAACAAAAGGAATTATATAGTCTCCCATGTTAATGAACATTCGGCAAATAAATCGAAGTTTAACTAATTTTACCAAGTCTAATCAATATTTATAATTATATCTCAGTTGTTATTAATAGTCAGAAGGATAATTACTACAGAACTAACTTTTTAAACTTTATTTTTTATAATTTCAGGTATAATTTGGGTGACTACAATGGAGAGATTATGTCTGAGGTTATGGCACAGAGACAGCCAGTGAAACCTACTTATGCCATCCCCATCATCCCTATTACTAATAGCAGTCAATTTAAACACCAGGAAGCAGTGGATGTGAAGGAGTTTAAAGTTAATAAGGTGATACAAAGTTTTGTGATTATAGTAGCTGATAATGGTGTGGTATTTTATCATTAAAATCAGAATGAAAAAGAAAACTATATCCTACCATGAAATATGCTGCAAAGCCAACTTTTCATTCAAGACTGGCCTGTTGATAAAACAGTAGAGCTTGTAAATAATAATTAACTTTGTAATTAACTTTTTCCTAGAAACCATAATACTCTAAACTGCATAAAACCTGACAAATATTTAGCATATTTGCATAACCATGGTACTTGCCATGATTTTTCTTGGCAACAAATGCCATTTTTTGCCTATAATCTTTCTTTCCTTTTTCCTGCACATCAAATTCATGCCTCTCCTAGTCTGCCATCCCTGCCATACATATTTCTAACATACCCTTTGTTCATCAGCTCACTCACTCTTACCTGTGTATTTTACCCTGTGTTTCCCCTGTTTAATAATTTCATATCTTTATCCTTTAAAACTGCTCAAAATTCACCACTCCAGACTGACTTCATTATTTAGCTGGTAGTAATTCTTTACTACTCTTTATTTTCCTAACACCTTAGTATTATGGCTTTATTTTCCACTATGTTAACAGTAATCTGAAGTCTGCTCTGTGTATATGTAAATTTTTTTCATTATATTTTCCCCATATTGATTTGTTAATTTTTTAGAATAAAAACTAGATATCCCCCCTTTTTTAATTATCTTCTAGTATTTTTATAGGAAATTAAGAAAAAGAAACAGGAGCCAGCAGTAAATGCTAATTGCAGTTACAGGGTTTTAGAAGCTGGAGCGTTTTTATTCTTTTACTTATTTAATTGGAACAAAATACTTTATCAGATTGTGTTTAGGTTGTAGGAACATATTCATGTTTTCACAAAGATCAACCGAATTCTAAGACTTTACAATGTAAGATGACAGAACATAAGAGTCTTGTATCTTCCTATGATTACGAATGCCTTCATTATAGTAGTAAACTTCTTTTAAAAACTTACCCAAAACTGCGGGTTTGTTGAACATGGTTTTCTGTTGTTTGATTAACTCATAACTTTATTGCAGCAAGATAAAGCCGATCTTATCCGACCAAAACGTAAATATGAAAAGAAGCCCAAAGTCTTACCATCATCTGCTGTTGCTGCTCCTCAACAGACGAGTCCTGCTGCACTGCCAGTCTTTAATGCTAAAGATTTAAATCAGTATGATTTTCCCAGCTCAGATGAAGAACCTCTCTCCCAGGTAAATTTAAGAATTTTTCTATTAATATAGAGGAGAAATGTAGGAAATCACGTGTTTTTGACTCATTGCATTTTACTTAAAGGTTTTGTCTGGTTCTTCGGAAGCTGAGGAAGAGAATGATCCTGATGGTCCATTTGCTTTCCATAGGAAAGCAGGCTGTCAGTACTATGCTGTAAGTTTCAGGCTTTCTTTTTAAATAACAAACTGTTTACCTTTAACTGACCAAATAAGATTTTTTTTTTTTTTAAGCCTCACTTAGACCAGACTGGCAACTGGCCTTGGACTAGTCCTAAGGATGGAGGATTAGGAGATGTGCGATACAGATACTGCTTAACTACCCTCACCGTACCCCAAAGGTGTATTGGATTTGCACGAAGACGGGTTGGGCGCGGTGGAAGGTAAGGTATTTTTGTATTGTAAGCATAGAGACATTTTAGAAAGTAGGGTAGTTGAATTTAAAATTTCAAGTGAAGGTTAGGGTAGCTCATTTGTTCCCATTTGCTATTCTTGACTGATTTTTTGTTTGAAATACTTTGCCTTCCTGGTTCTTATATAGCTTTTAATGCATGATACAATTCTGACAAAAGGTACCAGATAAAGGCAAGTGTAAGTTATGATTGCATAAATTGTATTAAGTTAAAGAAACTACAAACGTTTCAGGAATTCTGGAAAATAATGAAAAAAAAGGATTAAATAGACTAAGAAGTGTCATATATAGTGTACAGAGTTGTTTAACTTGTCAGTGAAAAGGCTCCAGGTTTCATGTATGACCTGATCTTGACATCCCAGATTGTCAGGATCTAATTGCTTTCCTTTCTTTGTTTAAACCTGATAGAATTCCAACATACTCTATGCCTGTGTATGAGAAGTTGTTTGAGGGGAGGGAAGGAATTGCAGAATGCATAAAAGCAAAGAAAAAGAAAGCTTTCAAGTAAAATATGAAAAAAATTAAAAGGCAGAATAGATAAGGTACTTTTAAGAAGAAGTTTAAGGATATGATTTATGTTAAATTAATGGCTTAGACATATGTTTGTTTTATTTTTTTAGTTTTAGTTTCAAGTTCTTATCACTTAAACATTACTTTAGAATTATCCGGGCATCAAAATACATATTTTTTAATTTTATTAAAGCTATTGGGGTGACAATGTTAATAAATTACATTGGTTTCAAGTGTACAGGTCTATCATACATCATGCTTTGTGTTTTCACCAACCAAAATTAAATCTCCTTCCATCTCCAAAATACATTTTATTTAGTACTTTTTCCCATATCATTATGTTGACATCAGTAGTTGTGAGAATTCTCTATTTTGGCTATATTTTATTCTATACTAGTATTGATTTGTGTTAACATTTTATGATAAGGTCATTTATAAAGTTTATATTAGTAACATCTCAAATATTTTATCCATTAGAAATTTTAGTGGTATAACATATCCCAAAGATCACATATCCTTTAATGCTTTTCTCCTACCTCCTCTCGCCCTCCCCCCCCCCCCCCCCCCCCCCCCCCCCCCCCCAAAACAAAACAAAAAAAAAACAACAAAAAACAAAGGAATCTTTACTTAAATATGAGAACAAATATGTTAGCAACATTTTACAAAGTGTTCTGGTGCTTTGTAATGGAAGTGAAAATCTTTGGTTTAAAAGTAATTTGAAAAGAAAGGTATTTTCACATTTTACAAGTAACTTAAACTGATCGACCAACCCTTAGAACTGTTACAACTCTTACTGTTATAAAATATTTACCTTATTCTTTGAGGTGGAGTACTCTCTTATTTAATCAGATCATTGTAATGTAAAAGAAAAAACCTTTATTAGATACTGAAATTATAGCCAAATATTGCAATAATCAAATTTAAATATTCAATAGGAAATGGCTTTTTGGAGTTGGGGGAGAGAAAGAAAAACAATTTTTAAACAAACTTTGAATAGCTATTTTACATACATGTTTCCTGCCTTATTTTTAATAGGGTCTTACTGGACAGAGCTCACTCAGACTATGATAGTATGTTTCGCCATCTGGATTTGGAAATGCTTTCCTCACCACAACATTCTCCAGTCAATCAGTCTGCCATTACCTCAGAAACAAATACCTCGGACAAATCTTTCTCTAAAGACCTCAGTCAGATACTAGTCAATATCAAGTCATGTAGATGGCGGCATTTTAGGCCTCGGACACCATTCCTACATGACAGTGACAATGATGAACTCTCCTGTAGAAAATTATATAGAAGTTTAACTCGAACAGGAACAGCACAACCTGGGACCCAGACATGCAGTACCTCTACGCAAAGTAAAAGTAGCAGTGGTTCAGCACACTTTGGTATGTTTATTTGTTATAATGTCATTTCTATGGAAATGTCAGGCTTATCAATTTTTTGAATATGTGGCTTATTATATTAATGACTAAAAGTCCTTTTCTCAAAGTAGTTAAGAAAAAGAAAGACCTAGGTTTAAGTATTTATTTGAATCCTGTTTGTACAAATGATTTCATTTAAACAAAACCACATACAAAGGGGTGGTTTATTACTACAGGGTGGGACAAAAGTAGGTTTACAGTTGTTCATATGGAAAATAATATAATAATTAAATAATAATACATGAATAAACTCAAGTGTTTTGCATACCCACAACTGTACAACTATTCTTCCCCCATCCTGTATTTAATGTATAAAATTTGTTTTCCTGGGAACCACAAGATTGAGCAATTATATTTTCAAAATAATATGAAAAAAAATGGACCATAAATTATTGCTCATTTCTTTAGTCTTTCACTTAGACTGCTTAAAAGTAGACCAGCAAATTAAATTGATAGACATGCAAAGTTTTATCTGTCACAGTAATTCAGAGTAATTTGTAAGAGAAAAGTAATTTTTCACAGAACAATATTTAAAAGATTATTTTAATAATTTCAGAAACATTTTTAGATATTTACTGTAGCATTATGGCTACTTTGTGAAATGTGTCTAAAATAAATGCTGTCTACTTAAAATATTTCTAAAAATTTAGCTTTCTATTTGAAAGCAATAGATGTGTTTTTTGAGGCATGTAGATTATAGAAATCCACTGTTAACCTATTGTACGCCATAAGCGTCTGTAGACGCAAGCAGGGGGACCTGCCACACACGCCAGGCGCGTCTATAAAAAAAATGTTTTCCCTAAATGGCAGCCCTGACCAACTTTAAAATCATTTTTCATGAGAATTTTCAGCTGAAAATATTCAAGAACACCAGAATTGTGAGCAATATATTTATTTTTATAATATTCATTGCAAATTGATTTTTTAAATTAAATTCAAAATA